GGGGGGGGGGGGGGGGGGGGGTATTCGTGCGCTTGCAATGGGGCTTACAATGACTTACAAAGATACATTACAGCTACAAGTGTATGCACTACTTGCTTTACGCAAGCACAACATAGGATAAATCACTATACAGGATTTACCCTATTATACTTTATCGACACGAATTGATAGCATTAATACCATAATTCCTCCGTTCAATTAGGCCAAAGACATCGAGAGTCACTCAGACCTATAACAACCCAGCCACAACACTTAATTGCGGATAACATGCCTTACCTTAACACAGAATCGACCACAGAGTCCAACGTTTATATTTTTTCTACGAATCTTTGAGTTAACATGTACTAAACATGAGTAGAATTTGCACCGCAGCTCCCCCACGCCTTGATGCTCATGACAAGAATAGCATGTATAGTTATCTTTATTGAAGTGAATTAGTTTTAAATCGCCGTCATGCATGAATGAATGCTATTTTTGCAATTTTACACATAATCCACAATGATCACATTACACAAAACTGAAATTGCATGTCAAAATAACACATTATCGATATTTTTTGAGACCCCCCAAAATTTCACAAATCACGTTTTCAGGGGAGCCCATGTCTTGTTAAGGGGAGCCGAGCTCCCCCTAGCTCCCCCGTAGTTCGCACCCTGCCTGAAACACATTTCCTCCTTGGCTCAGAGTAGTTACTTCTCTGTCTACAAGAGCAAAACACTGGAACTGTTTAGCTAACATTTGAAGGCACATACATACACTCAAGATTCGTGTGATTGACTGTATATGTGTGTACAGACAGATTGTGTGGGTCCAGGATGCAAGATGCTGAGCTGGGCAGTAAGGGATTTTGGGACAGCGGGTTAGAGCAAGATCAAGACTCAGTGGATCAATGTCACTACGAGACAGAGACCAAGCTTCTACAAGAGAACAAAAGTCAAGGAAAGCAATAATACCATCTGAAACACAAATACCCATATAAGAGTTTTAGTTTGCTTCATTAATCAAATGTTGCAAGTACACCAAGAAATCCCATTATTACCGTCCATTTTAGGACACATATTAATTAAAATCTTCATCCTGCCCATGTAGAATGTGAGTAAGATGCACATTTCTCATAGTTACATATGTGCAGAATGATTGTGCCTACAGAGCATATCTGTAATGAGCGAGAGAGAGAGAGAGAGAGAGAGAGAGAGAGATGGCAAAGCTGAATCAGCACCACAGGAGAAACAGCAGCTCTCTTCTCTTCCCTCGTTGTTCTTTTCTGTTCTTCTAATTAACCCCCGCAATCCGTTTAATTAAAGGAGAGCATCTGTCCTGCGATCAGTTGACAAAACACGGGGCGCGTTAACACACACAAACACACACACACACGCTGCGTTCTATAAAGGACACCTGCAGATCCACTGATGACTGTGGACTAAAAGTAAGTGTTTAGTTAACATACAGACCTCTGCATCAAGTCAATTAAGAAGTATCACATGAGCAAGAGTGTTGTTGCTCTGAATATCATGTGATTTGTCTGCAGGTAATCACAGCTTCACTGATATTCAGACCAAAAGCACGATTTTATACAATAGATCAATGAACAAGAAGTTCATAATAAGTAACTTCAATTTTCGATATAATTTCGCAATTTACATTGTCTAATTTTGCTCTGTGAATGAAAATAGTTCCAAATGAAGCCAAACCAAACATGTACAGTGGTGTGAAAAAGTGTTGGCCCCCTTCCTGATTTATATATTTTTTTGCATGAAATCAGGAAGGGGGCCAACACTTTTTCACACCACTGTATATTCAATGACTCACTCACTTGTAACAATTCTGAATGAATCTGTTTTTGAATAATTCACTTGAGTAAATCAGTTGTTTTTAATTAAGTAAATGTGCGTTAATGACTCCCTCACTTACTACAATACTGAATAATTCTATATTTTTTTTAACAAATAGCTTTAATGAATGATTCAGTAATGAATGAATGAATAACTCAGTGTTAAATCAGTGTTTCTAAATGAATCACTTGAGTAAATGATTCAATAACTCACTTGTTACATTCTTGAATGAATGGTCATATGATGTTGCTAAAAAGAACATTATTTTGTGTATTTGGTGTAATGAAATGTGTTTATGCAGTTTAAGGTAAAAAAAAAACAAAAAAAACATTATTTTCCA